TAGTTTTTCGTGTGGTGAGTACAAGGAGGCTTATGACAAGCACCTTGCTAACCTCAAGAAATTCCATGTACGAACGAAGGACCACGGCATTCTCGATGGTATCCTGAAGGAGATCAACGACAATGGGAGGTAAGTGTTTTTTCATTATTAAAATCTCACAGATTTGCTGACGACGGTACAGAATCCACGCTAAGGTAGATCCGGCTGATGTCGGAGATGCAGACTGTCTCCGATGACGAAATTCACAATGCCATTCGCGAATACCAGCAGGGGAGTGGTGTGAATGAGACTGATGACGAGGATGAGGATTATGGTAGTCATTCTGAGCAGAACAGATGCGAAGACGAGTAGAATAATTATAAATTATAAATGCATATCATTGATTCATTGTTCTCATTGGTTTGAGTGGTATGAACTAAGTTGCTTACTATTGGAGGCTATGTGGCACTACATAGCAGGGCTACATAGCTGATGCACGAGATACTGGATACAATGTAGCACAAATAATGATATAGCCTGAGGTATATAGCGCTATGTAGGGGGGGGACCTGCAATGAGCCTACGAGCAGTATGTAGCCTATATAGCGCTATGTGGCACTTCGGTTTTTTCCTGATGTATCCCTGAGCCTGCCGACAAAAATAGTCCCACGGACGCCGAAATGGCGAAGATGCGTGAATGGCTGTTGAAAGACATGAAGGCCAAGGAACTTCTTACCCGACGACTCAGCTCGTCCGTTGCTTCCCTCATTCCTCGCTCTCGCACGATTACAGCCCGTAAGGCCTGGCAGATCCTACAAGAGCATTTTAATAGAACCGACATGAGTACCCAGTATCTCCTCCGGCAACAAGTGCAAGCCTTACGGATGAAGGACTCCGCCGACGCTACGTCATATGTGGCACAGCATGCAGTCTTCCGTGAGCGCTTAAATGATGCGGGCGCACCTTGGGGAGAAACAGACACCATCTATCACATGTTGATGGGACTGCCAAAAAACCCCGATCTGGCAGAAATTCAAGTCGTTGCTCGAGCAACAGATGCACGACGAATCCATGAGTGCTACCACCTCTTCTGTCCCCACCATCACCTTTGAAAGCTGCGTTTCGCGCATCACATCCGAAGCCACACACCATGTGGTCACTCAACACGTCCATTCCTCGCGTCCTGGATCTGAGTACGCCAATGTTGTCACATCTTCTACGACGTCTGGTACGAACTCCATCACCGGGTTACAAATGCACAGACATAACCCACAAGGAGTATTCCGCACCATGCCAGGATGCAATAAAGGCAACCACGATCATGCGCATTGCTATGGGAAGGGTGGCGGGATGGAGGGGCAAGCCCCTTGGATGCGGAACAAGAAGAAGGATACTGTTGAGAAGAAGGACAACATCATCGCGGCGGTCACTACCCCTACTCCTCCTCCTTCTGTCATTGCAGCTGCTGCCACTGACCTCGCCAGTCTCATGCAAGATCTATCTTTTGCATCAATTGCAGAGCTCCCAGCTGAGATCGCATGCGCCGCCTCTCTCCCCTTCTAGACCATCCTTGATTCTGGGACCACCGTGACACTCGTCAAAGATCGCTGTTTCTTCCATACGTACTCGACTGAGGATCCAGTGAACGTTCTAACGGCTAATCACGGTGTACTGCAAACAACAGGCAGGGGAAACTGTGTCGCATGGTTCACCATTGGACAACGACGACTTTGAGTGCGGCTCACCAATTGTCTCCACGTGCCTGATGCGCTGCTGAACCTACTCTCCGTCAGTTGCATGAACGCGAAAGGTTGGGACATCAACTTTCGCTCTAACATGACATGCGAGCTCTCTTTCAAAGGGATCAAGATTGGCGCCATACCAGCCACGGGGAAACTATATGCACCGAACTTAGAGTTCATTCCGCGCTCTGACGAACCTGCCTCATCGACCATCTCAGACATCACCGCATTCGCACACGTGCCCCATACATTGGACCTCTGGCACGCACGTATAGGACACATTGGGAAGGATGCAGTGATGCATTTGGGCCGTGTTGCACAGGGTGTCACCATCGATTCACCAGCTCTGCTATCCCACTGTGAGTCATGTATAATGGCCAAACACCCTCATCAGCCCTTCCGGTCCTCTGAAACAGAACGTGCGAACGCCTTCCTCGACCTCATACACGCTGATGTGTGCGGGCCACTTCCCACTGTCACTCCCCATGGGAAATACTATTTCATCATCTTTCTTGACGACAGTACCCATGCCCTCGACCTTCAATTACTTGCAACTAAGGACCAGGCACTGGCAGCATGGCGCACATTACGTGCTCATTGGGAAACATGTCAAGATGTTTCGCTCGGACAATGGGGGTGAATTCATCAATGCGGCCTTTACAGCGGATCTTGAGTCAACCGGAGTCCAGCGTCAACGCTCTGCCCCCTATGCTCATCAGCAGAACGGGAAGGCAGAGAGGGTGATGCGTATGATCGAAGGTTGTATGTATGCGATGTTGGATTTTGCACGTCTGCCAAGATCTCTCTGGGGTGAAGCTGCGCTTACCGCTTGCTATCTCTTCAACAGGACCGAGTCACGCGCTCTCCCAGCAGGGAAAATGCCCTATGAGATGCTGCACGGACGTCAACCCAACCTTGCTCACCTCCGCATCTTTGGGTCACGCTGTTTTGCGCGCATTCTTGCAGAACTCCAACAGAAACTCGGTCCTCGATCTTGCGAAGCGCAGTTTATGGGGTATCCACCTGGTGTGAAGGCATGGAGATGTCGAGATGTGGTGACGGGCGCATTTTTCCACTCCCATGATGTTATTTTCGACGAGAGCTTCTCTAATCGTCCATTTCCCGACAGTGATGACGATGAGGCTGATGAAGACTCCACCAAATCTACCACGTCTCCCAATCTCACCTCGTCTCCTAGCGTCAATCGCGCATCACCAATCCCACCTGTCACTCGCACATCATCTCAACCTCCCCATACCGAAATCATTCGACGTTCAGGGCGTATCCCCATCCTCACTGAGAAAGGGCAACTCTACAAAGGTCGCATTACCTCTGATAAGGCCCGTCTCGCGCGTGCTCGAGAGGTTCGCACAGCACGAATTACCGGTGTCCCACCACCGTCCTCAGACGCTCTCATACCTGTTGCACCAATCGTTGACGAGCTGACTCGCCTACTGTTACGACTTGGATAGTTCTTGCGTAACTAATCCAATAAAGGAGTTCTTTTGTTACGATGTTCTGTTCAGACACTTGAAGGGCTCTCCTTCTAAGTGAAGTTCGAGTATAGGCTAGTCTCTATAAGAGCTAGATCGGAATCAAGTATCTTCCTCAGAAGATGATCAAGTATCAGAGAGAACCAAGTATATTCAAGTTAGAGAAATACAAGTACAACTATCGCAGTATTTATAGGGAACAGAAGAGGCACGGACCAGGCCGACTTTGGAAGTAAAAAGGAATCAGGAAGAACATCAAAGAACTATCTGGAATGTTCATGCAGCGCATGTTGATAAGCAGTCAACGATAGCAAGAATAGTTCAGGGGAGCGTGATGATGGGAAAATAGGTGGGGCCACTGTAACACCTACCTGAACTTCCCCCTCCTCCTGTCAACGATCCAGACGAGATTACTCACGACAACGACGAAATAGGCTTTTCCCAGGTCATCGCCAATCTCATTGTTGTGGAGGTCGCATGTCTCTCCATCTGCAGCGATATACGCCGCAACCCGCTGTCCCCGTCTTACGATCTCAAGATTCCCCCCGCAACGTTCGATGAAGCCATGCGTCGACCGGACATGGATCACTGGCTCACAGCCATGCATAAGGAAATGAACCTTATGTCTGAAATGCAGGTTTACGAGCTCGTTGTGTTGCCTGAAGACCGTCGCGCCATCGGCTGCCGCTGGGTGCTGGAGTTCAAGTCTGATCTGAAAGGTGGGCCGGTATTCAAAGCAAGACTCGTCGCCCAGGGATTCTCTCAAATCCCTGGTGTTGATTTCGGATGCACCTTCGCACCAGTAGCTAAATCAACCTCCATTTGGGTACTCGCAGCGCATGCAGCAGCCAACGACTGGGAGCTGGATTGTTTTGACGCTAAATGTGCGTTTTTGTGGGGTAAACTACAGGAAGACGTGTACATGAAACAACCGCCTGGATTCGAACGCGTCAGCCCCGATGGACTTCGCCTTGTCGCTCATCTCCTCTCATCCCTCTATGGCTTAAAACAAGCCGCGTTCGATTGGTACAAATTGCTCCGTGCGGTTCTCGCCCAGCTGGGTTTCTTGTGGTGCAAGGCGGACTACGCCGTTTTTATTTTTGACCATGTCAACGGCAAAGGAGTGCATGTCATATGCATCATTGCATGGCACATTGATGATGGGCTTGCCGGTTCCAACAATCACGGCTTCCTCGATCACACAAAGGCTCAAATCACAAAATGTTTCAGTATTACCAACCTCGGGCCAGTCACCAAGTACCTGGGGATCGAATTCGTTCGCAATCGTGCCTCACGCAAACTCTGGATGCATCAAGGGGAGTATATTGCGTATCTACTCGCAGAACACAACATGTCAGACTGCAACCCAGTAACACTCCCCATGGACTCCAACTTCCCATTTGGTCGCCCAACCGACGTTTTTCCCCACATCGACGACCTTCAAAGCGAGTATCGCAAACTTGTCGGAGAACTACTGTACCTTGCAATGTACACTCGACCGGACATCGCACACGCTGTGATGCGTCTCGCGCAGTACAATGTGTCAGCAGAGCCCAAACACTATGCAGCGGCCAAACATGTTCTTCGGTACCTTGCCGGTACAAAGGACCTTCGCGTTCACTATGGGGGTGTTGGCGTCAACGCGAGTCTTCACGGGTTCTCCGACTCTGACAGGGCCTCGTGCCCTGAGGATCGAGTGTCAATCTCCGGCTACGTTTGGTTTTTCAATGGGGGTCCGGTATCTCACTCTGCGAAAAAGCAAACAACTCAAGCGTTATTGTCGATGGAAGCGGAATATATGGCGCTCACATCCACTATCCAAGACGGCATCTGGTTGCAATCGTTCTTCGGATGTCTCGGCATCCCGCTCACACTCCCATTACAACTTTTCGCGGACAATGCGGGAGCCATCGCTCTGTCCAAAGAGGCTGCCAACCACGTCAGAACGAAACACATAGATCTTCGGTACCACTTCATCTGTCGCCACATAGAGGCCAACACGTTCCTACCCGTATGGTTATCCACGCACAAGAACACGGCTGATATATTCACCAAGCTCTTACCTCGACCCGCTTTCACCCATCATCGCACTGGACTCGCTCTCATCACAACTTAAACCATTTCGTCTTCTGTCGTACTCCTCTCGCATCAAGTCATACACTGTTTCGTTATGGGGGTGTGTTGGATGTCAAACATCAACTGTGTATTTCCTTTCTCGATCGTCATCGTCATCACGGACTCTATAGTATAGATCATTCATATTCCCACTGTATCGCATTGTTTGTACCTCAGCTGTTTATCTGCAACGCTGAGGTATGGTCTATGTTCATTTATGCACGCCGTCTCTCACTTACCTTATTTCGTCTCTAGACGTGTCTACTAGGTACTATTAATGTCAAGCTGTTTATCTGCAACGCTGAGACGTGTCTACTAGTTTCACCTTTCAATAGAAGTGACCTGTGGAATAGCGTCAGTCGGCTTCCGGTTACCATTACATGTAGCGTATTTGAGATAGATTCTAGAAGGATTCTACCTCCGAGAACGAACCAACGAAAGTGAATACTAGTGTGAGAATCAAAGATTCAAAACTACTATCATCATCTGCCCCACTTTGCTTCACTTACTTTCTTGGTCAAAGGATGGTCCATTCACCTCAAATGCGGTAGCGTTCTTCAACCCTTTAAATACCCGCAGCGATCGTCACTCATGCCATTAGGAGAACTCCTTGACTCGTTTGGAAGGTTGCGGCGACACAAGTTGGACGCATGTGCCAAGGCTTTTGATAACAGCCTCATGTCTGGCGCGATGAGGAAGGTCATCGATATTGTGATGGAAATCAACATAAGAACGCCCAGTTCACGAACTTCTGCAATTCTGCAGCCCAGTCCAAGACGCCCACAATCCCTCAGCCAAGTCTCGCTCAAATTTTCTCCACAGGGTCATGACCTTCAATCAAATGGCGCACCTCATCCCAAGCACCACCCCAGTTCGAGTGTTTGAAGACCACAAAGCATGCATAACCAGAGTCACAGTTTTACCTGATAAACAGCGCATGGTCACAGCCTCAGAAGATCATACACTTCATCTATGGGACTTGAACGAAGGTGCTGTGTTGAAGGAAATGGTGAGGCATGGTGCCAAGGTAAAAGCATTGGCGGTATCACGAGATGGGGGATTGATAGCAAGCGGTGATGAGGGCGGAAAGCTCATTGCTTGGCATGGACACACTGGAGATTCTCTCGCCCCCACTATCGAAGCTCACGTCCAAAAGATCTATTCCCTGGATTTTTCTCCAGATGGCTCAATGCTGGCAAGTGGCTCATGGGACGACACAACAAAACTGTGGGAGATGACTACGTGGCAGCTGTCAGGAACATTGATCAGTTGTGGTGCAGATGTCAACTGTGTTCGGTATTCACCATCTGGCGAACTTCTTGTGATTGCAACAGACCACAATATCCAGGTTTATACATTAGACAAGCGGACCTGCGTCGCAAATTTCAAGGGACATGCAACGACCACCTCAAATTCCCCATTCAACCTCACACTCGCATGGACGCCTGATGCTACACACCTTCTCTCAGCGGGTAGTAATACCATACGGGTTTGGAATTCATCGACCTGGGAACAGGTTGGTGATCCTTGGACAGGCCATACCAGCAACATCAACTCCATTGCCATAGATGCTTCTGGCACGCTCCTTGCTTCTGCATCTATTTATACACTTGTCCGCCTCTGGCGACTCTCGGATAGACCCATGAAGCACTCCGGGGAAGTACAATGTGTCACCTTCTCTATGGATAGCAAGCACATCTTCAGCGGGGGTGTTGATATGGAGATCTCAGAGTGGGAAGTACCCAGGGGACTGTCGCTAGTAAGTGCCCGGTAATTTATCATCCTTTCGTCATCTCATCTGGTGTATCACCTGTACTTGACCGTGTTATGCATAATCATGGCTTATTAGACACGAGCCGTTATGCATGGTTACCTGTAGTCTTAGACATTATGCATAATCCCCTCGACTGTA